CATAGTCAAAACTCCAAGCTAATCCCTCTTTAGCCTCCGGTGAGGCCAACTTACGAATTCCTTCCATTTAAGACTAAGAATGCCAGTATAGTTCCCAAACTGTTGAAATCAGTTTGTAAAATAAAAATTAATGATACATTCACACGAGAACCTTGTATCCTTATGGCAGTGTTCCAATACACAGGACATTCTGGACCGAACGCTTTCTTCTTGATAATTCACATATACTTTAGGCATTATATGAGTATTGAAAAGGAATTCTCCCGCTAAGTTTAGATTGTAGAGTCATTGAGCTCAAAAAATTTGGGAGGGTATGCGTAAATTTATTATGCGGCGTAGTTATGCATGATATTGTCAGATTGCGTGACGACAATGAAAAGTGATAGAGCTCATGGGCTCTTTCTTTGAAAGCATGCAAAATAAAGACGGCCTTCTTGAAAGAGTTTGCTGCGGCCATCCATAAAGTTTATTATGCAGCTCTTTGCACGTAAAATTTAAGTGCTGCTATTGAGCAAGAGATTTTAGGCTATCTAACGACTATATAAAGAATAATATATTGATGATAAAAAAGAAATGAGCAAAAGTAAGAAGGACTGCTATATGATAAATATATAGATGAATAATAGACTATACAAGTGGATAAACGCATTTTATCTATTTATGCAAAGCTTCAAACAGAGTTGAGAAAAATATGAAAGGAGAGAAGAAAGAAAGAATATATAGAGAACATATAAAAGGGAAGACGAAACCAATTGAAAGGCTGAACAGTAACTTTGGCCGCATGAGACCTAGTGCAAGCCCGAGTGAATTGATAGATAATTGTGCTATAATTAGGCGATTACTTTTGAAGAAATGATATCCTCTATCTGTATTATTAAGTTGAGCAAATATTCACTTGTCCTGGCAGATGAAGGTCCTGTGTAACTTACTTATGCTTGGAGGATAATTAACTGAGATTTGTTTTCTTAGAATGGCTGAATTGTCAGTTATAAAAGCCAAATCAAAGAATTTTATCACTTGGTACGGGGCGAATCGCTTTATATCCACTAATGAAAACATTGTAATTAGATTAAGAAGAAGTGAATGATACGAGCGATAGTGCAAAAATAGCGTGACAAGATGCTTGGTAGAAGTTGCGTCGAGAAAGCGGGTTTCGACAACTCCTGTGCAGAGGAAATCAGAAAGTTATTATTCAGTGGATAGCCGGTAAAGGAAGATCGCCGCGCCTAGAATGAAGGTGTTATAAGCCATCTCCAACTTTTAAAAATGATAGATTTTAGTAGTAGAATTTACATTCGAAAAAAAGTTTGATTAAGGATAATTCTAAAATAATTTTATGTCATAATGTCTTCTAGTTTGTATGAAATTTAGGCGGATTGGATTTATGAACAAGCCCCACCAGAGAGCGAAGAGCGATTGCCCTCGAGTTATGACAGTTGATATGAGCAAACAATGGCATGACATATTAACAACATTTCTGGTTCCACCATTGGGAATATTTACGTGAGGACTTTGTGTCACAGACATAATCGGTTGATCCATGCTAAAAATGGCCCCAACCAGAGCTTAGATAGAGTTTTTAAGCCAGTCTGGAAGTAATTTCCCAAATTTTATGCCATTAAAAATCCACTTAGGCGTCTCGGGTAAGAGTAACAGCATTTTAACGGCTCCGTATTAGTTACATTGCACACATAATAGTTGATTTCAGAAAATATAAACGATTTGTTTAACAAGCCAAGCTGACCTTTTTGGAAAGTTAAGCGAAAAGTGAGCCTATGCTTCATCTTGAATGGCGTTACCTAATTTAAAGATAGTCGTTCTTTCTTTTCGTTCCTGTTTGGGCTGAAGTAGACAGTCGAAACATACTATTGAAAATTATGCCAGGAAGTTATAAAAAAGGTGATTCTCTAGTTATTTTACTGTTTTTTCTAACGCCTTGCTGAATGTCATCTAACTTACTTAATTTGTTTCTTCTTCTCTAAAGAACCACCCTTCTTCCTATTCTTATTCTTTATTCAAGTCAAGCAAGTCTGCATATTTCAGCCCCTGTTTTTAACTTCCTTTAGGCTCTGGTCTTATTTCAAATAAAAGTTGACCGTTATTGTATTTTCTATAATTTTTTTTCATGATTTTGACTGTCTATTCATCTCAACCGAAACCCAGTCCTTTACTCCTGTGCCATGCTGGCTCCTCATCATCTGACCTGCACTTTTGGTATTGATTAATAATGTTGCTACCTGCCAAGTTCCCCTTTTATCTTAATACTTGATTCTAAATGGCGTTCTGCTTATAAGCATCATGATGGAATGAGGCAAACTAAACTTTCTGGGGCGGAGTTTATCTTTTCCTCATGTTTGGAACTTATTTCACGAACTTGCCCAATTCACTCAGCAGCATACATAGCCTATTTTGCTCCTTCTGATGCCTAATAATCTCTTTTGACTCTTCCGCATACTATTTTTATTCTGCTCTTGTCTCCTCCCAACCCGAGTAGATGATACATCAATCATTCATGCTCTATGTACATTTGGGCCAGCATGAATGGCTGTATGGTTGCATAATATTCAGTTTATGGCAAGATTGTTTAGCTGCATTTTTTCCTGTGAACCTTAGAACAATATGGCCAAGTGATTGATTCGCAAGAGATACGCCGATGCTGAAGACTAATTTTAATTGCTTAATTTAACATCTGCTCGCGTTTTCTTTAAATGATTGATAACTCTTGAACAATGGAGAGATGGAGTTAATCTAGCAACTCTACGTTATTAACCGAGTTGCAACTTGTTAGAACGGTAGATTGCAGCTGGTTTGATTGCCTCAGTGGAACAATTAAAGTTCACTTACTAGATACCTAGTAGGCTAAGTCCATGAACTGCGCTATCAACAGAGATGAGATAATATTTCCAAAACTAGTAATTGTTGGTACTAGTGAAAACGACGGGTGAAAGTAATCAGAATGACGGCGTATTGCGAAGCCCCTATAATGAAGTAATGAGGATATTTGAATCTGCTGATAAATTTCATTAAACAAAATAAAAACTTCAGTTTCAGCCAGCGAAACTCGAAAGCTGATTATGCCTGTTGAAGTAGCCTCAGGCAATGCTGCATGACTCTGGCATTAATCGTCCAGAGATCGGGTGAGTCTGAAAGACAAGGCAAATCCTCAAACTAGTACATCTGTGGCGCCAATTAGTTGATAGAATATGTGCTATTAGAGTCCTCCATGATGGATGGAATGCAAAAATTCAACGTACTCTGTAGGGCATTGGCGCCCCAGATGAACTCTGATGTCTCTCAATCCCAATATAGTCAGATAACCCAATTTCCGCACAGAAACTTGCCCCTTTGGGTTCGGTTTTTTGAGCCCACATGAATAATGGAAAATGAAGAAAAGCTCATCTGCCATTGGCATGAAACGAACTTAATGGCCAGTTTAATAGTAACTCTTTACTGGTACCGTTTAGGATAAGTCGAAAATCCCTCACTTCCCAAAAGATAGTGAAGGCTGCGTGTGTGTAGGAAACCTACAAAGGCAGATGTTTATTCACCTGATAACAACTCTCTGTGACTGAAGTCTGATTGGGTGTATGAATGCAGGGTTTGCTGCTTTGCTGATTGCAAATACAGCGAGCTTCCTAACAGAAATCAGGATTTTCTTCACATGCTTATCCTCGAGTTTGGCAGAGAAGTTATTTATTAACTTACGCAAATTAGCAATTGCCAAGTAATTTGATCATGCTTTGTTTATAGCCCAATGCATTATGAGAAACATAAAAGATCTTTTGGTATTATTAACATAAAAAGCTAGCGCTATCTAATTTCCTTCGTAAAGTTTGAAAATAGCAATAATACTGACCAAATTCTGACAGACACAGACTATTTTGTGGTTTAACTAGAATCTCATGCTCAGGAATAGACTTATTTGTGGTAGAGGAAACGCTATCAGAAGATAATTTGTTCTAACCTTCGTCAAACGTTGATCTAACTATCCCATGGACAGATTCTATACGAGGGTGTACAAGTGTCTTGGAAGCAATCGACGGAAGCGATCAGCAAGCCCAAATACATTTGAACTGACCGATGGCGAAGTTGACCATAGCACTGCCAGACATGAAGTCAAAAGTGATATGGGAAAATGCTTGGCCTTCCTTCAATTGCACACCTTTTCTGTGACCCAAGGGCACTCTTGGTAATGTGGCGTAGAGAGCAGCGAGTCGAGATTATGCGCTGCACTGTCATGCCTCGAGCCCCGCTGGGGGTTCGGATGGGGGTAGTTAAGGTGGGGTCGAATCCGCAGTTCATCCTTGCCTGGATGAGAATAGCTTCTGGGGAAGCAAGGCTATGTGAAATTCAATGTAAACGTAATATCTGAGATGAATTCACCCAATTTCGTTTAAGGTGATGAAGGACTGGCAGAAGAAGAAATTTTCCCACAATGATATGAGTTGAGCTGACGTTTCCATTGAATTTCACATTGCCTTGCTTTCCCAAAAGTTGTTCTCATCCAGGCACCAGTGGACTGCAGTTTCGACCTCGCATCGGTTTTATCAACACCCTCAGCGGGAGTCGAACCGCGACAGTGCAGGGTGGGAGCTTGACACGCTAACCACTCGGCTACAGTGCCACGAGCGCCATTTGGGTCACAGGGCAAATGTGAATTTTCAAGGAAGGCCAGGTCTTTTTGCCATATCATATTCCTTGGTTGGATTGTCGATGAAGCAAACATATATTTACTGGTAGTCTCGAAACAATACTTAATGCGAAAAATAAACGTAATATCTACTGATATTGGAAAGTTCATCTGTCCCTTTATAACCTTAATCGAAATTTGGTGAATACATCTTACATATATGATCTACTAGTATTCTCAAAAGCCGGCATATAAACGAAAACCACAATAATGTCGAAAGAATTGAATAAAATCTCTTATTTAGGTCGGCAGAACAAGAAATTAAGCAATGCTTAATTCTTATTCATGGGATGTACCCAAAGCGGAGGCACAAGAGAAGGTCTCTTCTAAAAATATCGGAGTTTTCACGACAAAGTGCAAGGTCGCCAGAAAGTTATGCAAATTAAGTAATGGAAAAATTAAAATTCATTCAAGCCTACTTAGGAACAGTCAATCGCCACATTTATACAACGATACTTACACTCCACCCCAGAGTTCTTCTCTGATCCGTATCTTCTTCGATTGTTCCGAGAGGACCTGACCGTCCTTGAACCAGCGAATTTTCGGAATCGGTTGACCGATAATATCACATAAGAACTCCACACGGGCACCAACAGACCTTGTCTGATCAATAAGTTCTCGTTGCAGCTCTATTTTTCCTATTGCGAAATGTGGAAAATATAAATGAACATAAATAACTTTATTATGAGAGATAAATAGATGATTGAGCATAAGCACGCATAGATAAAGAAAAAATTCCCTGTAGTTTAATAGGAGATCTTGAGACTAAGATGATGCAGTCTCCTTTCAATGTATAGAAGGTCTAGTTTCCCAACTTGGTTGTGTTGTCAAGGCAACCTAGTTGGACACACCTTGTCCGAAGTCCTCTGCTATAGTGGTTATCATAATTCCCAGTGTTGAACCGTGGACTTGGTTCATTACCTGAAGTTTGACTGACACCATTGTCAGCTTGTTCAGTGAATCTTGCCAGCCTCTGCACTAAGCTACAATTCGGTATCTCTAGGACTGTACCAAGTTCAAAGCCTAACACCTACACTTATAATAACTACTGTAACAGAGGACTTCAGACAAGGCGCGCCCAACTAGATCGCCTTGACAACATGATCAATTTATGAAAACGAAGCCAGACCACTTCTAAAATTTCCCCGTTATTCTTTCGTAATTGGCCTGAATTCAGCCCCTGCCGGAGTAATTGAACTGACCAAATTCTAGAGGTGATGAGGAAAATTGCTTCAGTATAGGCTACAACCCAAACGTTCACTTCCCAAGATCAATTACATTCTTACAGAGCGCCATCTGAATATAAAAGATACGATTTAAAGCCCATTGGGCCTGATAATGATGAGACACAACCTGAAAATACCCAACCATAGACCTTTGTTGCCCGGCTAGTTTTGTTGGGGAAGGGCC